GGATGCTTTCAGTGAAGAAGCTATCCTCTAAATAATTTCTACAGATTTATTCTCTACTTTATGACATCCCTGCCATCTTTTCCCATTTTCAGATCAAGGTTAACACCCCCATGTTGTAATGGTGGATGTCTACAGTAAAGGTTTTGTAGATAATATATGCACATGTCAGGCATTTGCTAGTCTCATTGATGAAACTCTATTCAGTATTTTTTTTTATGTATGGTTGCATGTTTGTTTGATGTGTTAATGTTTGTTCATTTTAGATCTGGTGGTGCAGACCTAAAAGTTGTTGTGTTTTCAGACAAATCCCTTTTTGAAGGGAATTTTCTTGTTCATCAACATTTTTAAACAGATATTTAAATAAGGTAAAAAGAGCTGTCTAACACATATAACACTGTGCTTAGAGGTAGGTTTGACCTTGTGCAACATAATCCTAAAACCTTTAAATGAGTAATGCATTCAAATGAACATACTGCCCTCTTTTGGTTGATCTTGAACAACTGCTCTTCTACAGGTGACATCCACACGTGTCTAGTAGCATAGCCAGGCTCATCATTTTCAGCGCTATTTTGTCATACACTCTTGAAAATAAAGGTTCTTTATTGCTACCTACTAGCATGAAGAACCTTTAACATATGTAGACCTTTTCCATTGCACATCTAAAATAATGGTTCTTTCAAGAACTGTTCACTGCTCAAGAACTGTTTGCTTCTTTAAGGAACCCAAAATGGTTCTTCATGTGACATTTTAACATGTGCAAAGATGTTGTTGCTTAGTTTTATGTGGTTATTTATGCTTAGGCACACAACTAAATATCATGAAAGAATTCATTAAGATAAGCAAAATCATTTGATTACACATCAGTAAAAATGGATTCTGTTTTTATTTTATTGCAAATTGTATTTATAAATGTGAAATAGAAAAAGCGAAAATGTATCCATGTAATGTCAATCTGCTGTTTTTCCTGCAAGTTTTCTTACTAGTATTCTTGAAAAATATGCTTATGTACACATATCAATATACTAATATCAGTGTTATACATGAAGCATCTCTATCTGTCATTTTTTCCCCACAAATTTTAAAGTGTAAGCTTGTCATGTTTTAAATACCTGTCCTTCCAGTAGATGAATGTCCTTGTAGGTCTATTTGGTAAAAAAAAAGTCTTTCACTTTTATAAAAGAGAGAGCATTTATTTGTGTAAAAGTATTGTTACATGTATGCCTTGTTTTCTGTTCTCTCCGTTGTGACCTAGTTTTCCATGACTTGCCTGATTATGTCATTCTGTTCACCTGTTGTCTGTTAATCATCTCATTAGTTCCCTTTGTTTGGTTCATGCTTATAAGTCCTCAGTTCTCCCTTAGTCTTCCTCTGTTCTTTCTGGATTTATCTGATTAAAAGACTTTTCGTTTCATCTTCACGCAAATTCATTCCATACAGAAGCATGAGAGAAGAACGGACCAACTACAGTTTTTGTATTTTTTTTTGCGGCGTTTTGTTCCTTTTTTCCCCACTCTTCTGTCACCATGGACATTCCTGCTGTGGCCCTGCTATTCCTGGACCAGGGTGACCGTCTGCTGGGTCTGCTGGAACGGGACTTTTTACATCTCGCGTGCCTGACTCATTACCCTGATCGCTCGCTCTGTGTTTTCTGTGTTTTTTGAAAAGTAATGGACTCTCAGATTTAAGCGCTTTAGCAGGTGTAAAATCAAAACTGCTCTCAATAAGGTCCCAAGAAACATCTTTTGGTATCAAACCACTGTTATTATTGTTTTTACACAAGGTCCAAACCTGAAAAATTTAATTCCCTTTTCAATTATGAATACATAATGAATAAATTTCAGTGTTTTTGTCTCCATACTGACATTATGTAAAGAGATTTACATATTAAGCAGAAGACATTTTCTGACTGCAGTATGTGACAATCAGAGTCAGCATTCTGTGAGTGGAGTGACATACTCTCATTTTATCGCCTATAAAAAGAAGTATGTCACATACAGTTCAACAAGGCATTCGCTCTTCACTTGGATGCTTTCAGTGAAGAAGCTATCCTCTAAATAATTTCTACAGATTTATTCTCTACTTTATGACATCCCTGCCATCTTTTCCCATTTTCAGATCAAGGTTAACACCCCCATGTTGTAATGGTGGATGTCTACAGTAAAGGTTTTGTAGATAATATATGCACATGTCAGGCATTTGCTAGTCTCATTGATGAAACTCTATTCAATATTTTTTTTTATGTATGGTTGCATGTTTATTTGATGTGTTAATGTTTGTTCATTTTAGATCTGGTGGTGCAGACCTAAAAGTTGTTGTGTTTTCAGACAAATCCCTTTTTGAAGGGAATTTTCTTGTTCATCAACATTTTTAAACAGATATTTAAATAAGGTAAAAAGAGCTGTCTAACACGTATAACACTGTGCTTAGAGGTAGGTTTGACCTTGTGCAACATAATCCTAAAACCTTTAAATGAGTAATGCATTCAAATGAACATACTGCCCTCTTTTGGTTGATCTTGAACAACTGCTCTTCTACAGGTGACATCCACACGTGTCTAGTAGCATAGCCAGGCTCATCATTTTCAGCGCTATTTTGTCATACACTCTTGAAAATAAAGGTTCTTTATTGCTACCTACTAGCATGAAGAACCTTTAACATATGTAGACCTTTTCCATTGCACATCTAAAATAATGGTTCTTTCAAGAACTGTTCACTGCTCAAGAACTGTTTGCTTCTTTAAGGAACCCAAAATGGTTCTTCATGTGACATTTTAACATGTGCAAAGATGTTGTTGCTTAGTTTTATGTGGTTATTTATGCTTAGGCACACAACTAAATATCATGAAAGAATTCATTAAGATAAGCAAAATCATTTGATTACACATCAGTAAAAATGGATTCTGTTTTTATTTTATTGCAAATTGTATTTATAAATGTGAAATAGAAAAAGCGAAAATGTATCCATGTAATGTCAATCTGCTGTTTTTCCTGCAAGTTTTCTTACTAGTATTCTTGAAAAATATGCTTATGTACACATATCAATATACTAATATCAGTGTTATACATGAAGCATCTCTATCTGTCATTTTTTCCCCACAAATTTTAAAGTGTAAGCTTGTCATGTTTTAAATACCTGTCCTTCCAGTAGATGAATGTCCTTGTAGGTCTATTTGGTAAAAAAAAAGTGTCTTTCACTTTTATAAAAGAGAGAGCATTTATTTGTGTAAAAGTATTGTTACGTGTATGCCTTGTTTTCTGTTCTCTCCGTTGTGACCTAGTTTTCCATGACTTGCCTGATTATGTCATTCTGTTCACCTGTTGTCTGTTAATCATCTCATTAGTTCCCTTTGTTTGGTTCATGCTTATAACTCTTCAGTTCTCCCTTAGTCTTCCTCTGTTCTCCATCTATGTTAAGTTGGTTTCCGTGTCTGTTCTCCTGGATTTATCTGATTAAAAGTCTTTTCGTTTATCTCCTTCGTCCTCGTGCAGTTTGTATCACCAACGTGTGACAGAAGAACGGACTGACTACAGTTTTTTTTTTGTGGCTTTGTGGCTATTTGTGGCCTTTTTCCCCACTCTTCTGTCACCATGGACATTCCTGCTGTGGCCCTGCATGAGAATCCCCTGTCTCCGACCTCCAGTCTCCGAGTGCTGGACTCCACCCCGGTCCTTCGACCCATCGGCTCCGCCTTGGCTCCTAGCTCCCTCGTCTCCACCGTGGCCCGTCATCCCACTGGCTCCACCGGGCTCCCTCGTCCCTCCAGCTCCGCCTTGGCCAGTCATCGATCATCCGCCGCCTCGGGACTCCACTCCTCTGGCTCTGTCTGGCTCCTCCTTCCCTCCGACTCCACCTTCATCCTCAGTCGCTCCGGCTCTGCCGTGATCTTCCGGATCCCCACCTCCACCTTGGTCGCCTGAGCCATCAGCTCCGCCTTGGCCCTCCGGATCCTCGGTGTCGCCCTGGCTCTCCGTCTGCTCGGCTCCATCTGGGTCTCCACCTCCAGTGGCTCCGTCTCCATCATTCGTCCCAAGGGTGTCATCAAGGCCTTCTCCACCATGGCTCCTCCCTCCTTCGACTCCGCCCTGGGGCTTCGTCCTGGCTGCTCTCTGGACCAACATCTGGCTCCTCCTGCTCCTGGCTTTCCCTCCACTCCCCCTTGGACTCTTTTGGACTTTTTAGTTTCTGCCTTTCTCCTTTTCTTCACACCCTCCTCCAGAGCCCCCACCCTCCCTCCTCAGTTGGACTTTGTTACAGTGCAGGGACGCGCCTTCCCAGGAGGGGGTGAGTCAGTTGTCTTAACCGTGGCTTATACTGCAAACACATACCAGCTTCATCACTGTGTCTGTCACGCGACTATCTCCTTCATCCTCGTGCAGTTTGTATCACCAATGCGTGACAAGTATGTGATTAAGACAAAAAACTGTTCTATAATACATGTAAAAAAAAAAAAAAGTTTACAATGTATACAAGTGTAAAATAAAGTCTTTACATTGTACCCAAAAGGTTTTATCATGATTTAATGATTAGAATAGGATAAGAAAATAAATTATATATCAGATAAATACAAATTATTAATTTATATTAAGTTCAAATACTTCACTGTTTTCATAAACAGTACAAATTAGTTACATCTGCATAAAAAACCCTGAAAATCCATACGAATTTCTCAAAGAAAAGTCAAGCAGCTAATTTCTTGCTGATTAACCCTAGGTGTATAATTATAAGATATATGATATTCCTGAACATACTCCCAAAAGCATCTTTAAGTGTACAGTGTAAGACACAAACAAGAATAAAATCATCAGTAATCTGCATTTACCCAATAAGGTCTTACAGCCAACAGAGTAGCATAGAGCATATTGTACTGTGATCAGCATGTTAAAACTTCACCGCTGCAACACTCTATATTATACATATACTATATTATACATATACTGTATAATACATATATATATATATATATATATATATATATCTATCATATTAATAGAAGAATTTCTTTATTTATGGTGCACTCTCTGGTGTGTAAGCAGGCTTCTCTTGTCTTTGAAGGTCTTCCTACAGTCCGGGCAGGGGAATGGCCTCTCTCCTGTGTGAGTGCGCTCATGCACTTTGAGTTGTGATGTCTGTTTGAAGCCCATGCCGCAGACGGAGCAGGGATAAGGCTTTTCTCCCGTATGTACTCTCAGATGTATCCTAAGCTCTGCAGCCCTGCGGAAGCTCTTTCCACACTCAGAGCAAAGATGAGGTCGTGCTTCACTGTGAGTGTTCACATGCATTTTCAGGTCAAATGACCGGCGGAAGCACTTTCCACATTCAGTGCAGGAATATGGTCTCTCATCCGAGTGTGCACGCTGGTGACTCCTTAGCAAATACAAATGCGTAAAGGCCTTTCCGCACTCAGTACAGTGATGGTGCTTCTCTCCTTTGTGACACTGCTGGTGTTCTTTAAGTTGACAGAAAGCGGTGAAAGCTTCACTACAAACGCCGCAGCGAAACGGTTTCTCTTCTGATTGAGGTGGCTGGTGCTCTTTTAGTCTCCTGTTGTCGGTGAACGTCTTGTTGCATACGGTGCATCGATAAGGCTTTTCTCCTGTGTGAATGCGCATGTGTGCGATCAAATTGGCATGTCCCTTGAAACGCTTCTTGCACACAGAGCACATGTAAGGCCTCTCTCCTGAATGAGCACGTCTGTGAACTTTAAGTCCGCCCAGCTGGCAAAACGTCTTCCCCGCACTCTTTGCACTCGTAAGGTTTTTCACCAGTGTGGGTTCTTAGGTGAACTCGTAACGCTCCGGATGTAGTAAAGGCCTTCCAGCATTGTGAGCACATGTACGGCTTCTCTCCCGTATGAATCCTTTGGTGAATTCGTAGATCTATAAGTTGCTGGAAACGCTTGTGACACTCAAGGCAGTGATGGCGTTTTTCATTTCTATGAAGTCTGCGGTGATTAGAAAAGGACCCTGACTGAGCAAAGCTCTTTCCACATTCGGAGCAGTGGTAGTGTTTTTCTCCTGAGTGAACACGCAGATGTACTTTTAGTTCAGAGGCCGTAATGAACCTCTTGCTACATTCAGGGCAAGCATGAGGCCTCTCTCCTGAATGAACTAGTATATGTCTTTTAAAGTGAACTGACGTTTTGAAGCTTTGTCTGCATTTAAAGCAATGGTGATTTGATTTGTTAGAGCGGACTCCTGTTTTTGTGCTCTTTGTTGAGCAACTCCTTTTCCTTTTACCAGTTTCTAAAAAGAAAAAAAGGAAAGACAATGGACACAAAGCATGCAGTGAGTGTTACCTGAACAATGCAATATTTTACAATTGATTTTAAAATAGAATTGGACTTGACAACAAATCGCTTAAAATAAGGCATCCCACTGCATTTTAAAATACATAAGCATTAAAAAATTGGGGGTTAGTAAGATTTGTTAAAAAGAATCAAAAGAAAAGAAATTGTCACTTTTGTTCAAAAGAAATTCAAAAGAAATTGTCACTTTTGTTCAACAAGGATGCATTAATTGCAGCTATTTCATAATTGGGTAATTACTAGTACTGAAATTGTATTTTATTTACTTATCTTTCTGGTGTTTTTAAATGTGTTTTAAGTATGTTTTCTGTATGTATATGTATAAGTAAATGTGTACATGTTTCCGTATATGTACATATGTATGGATATTGTATGTTTATGTGTGTGTGTATATATATGTATGTGTGGGTATTTTACAGAACAGAGTACAATTCTTTATTTTTTTATTGATTTTTTTTTATTGTCTTACATATGTTTTCTATTTGAATATATTTTAAAATGTAATTTATTCCTGTGATGGCAATGCTTCATCCATTAATCATCCATTATTTGTTGTGCTGCTTTTTTTTTTTTTTTTTTTTTTTTTAAGAAACCATAATAATTTTCTTTCAGTGTTCTTTGATGAATATAAAGTGTATAAGCATTTATTGGAGTTTATTGGATTTTTTTTTTAACAATGTAAAATCTTTAATTTTTTCACGCTATCATGTAATACCTATGTTATGCTTAACTTACCAAGTTGATACACTGCACAGATTTATTGTGCCTAGTTGGGAAACCAAACTAAATGTGACCTAATTCACCATGGTGGTCTCTGTGAGCACAGATGTTTGCAATTTCACCTTATTTGGGGATCCCAGGCTCCTCCCAATCTGTGAGCACGGCTGAATCCTGGTTGGCTGGACACATCTCAGAGGCTTCCTCATTCTTATAATCATCATCTTTTTTTAACTCCACACAAATGCCAAACACACTGGGATGATCACAAGAAGGTGGGCTTGGATCTGGCTTCTCTTCATTCACCTTAATCACTAGACAGTGTAATTAGGTACAACATATACGTATAATAAAATGATCATGTGATTTCTTAATCATCGGGTCAAGCTGAATTACTCACAGTGCTCCTGGTGTCCAGATGGGTTGGTCAGTATCTCTATAGCCGCCAGAAGAAAATCCATGCCAGGTATTAGCGTCGGTCCTTCAAGCAGTAAAACACATCAACTGTGTCTGAAAGCAGGTGCATAATATATACTCCTGCGGACCGCAAAGACTCTGAAAAGCACCGGTCAGTAACAGCAGGCTTACATTTTACTCGCAGTGCATTTATTGGCTTGAAGCACAAATTGAGTAGGCTACTTATTACAGGTGAAGCTGTTAGTTCTCAGAGAGTACAGTAGCATGACATTCACCACTTCAGCCTTTTAGTCGCCGCACATTTAACTACTAACTACACCGAAGATCATGTCATTAATAATTTACGGCATTAAAACCAAAAGTGAACAGACACGAAGTACACAAAAGCGAGGTGTGCTGTGATTGGCCAGCTATCCAGTGCGTTGTGATTGGCCGAATACCTCAAGCGTGAGACGGAAATGTTACGCCCCTCACATACTGTTGATGCCGTGTCCGGCCGGAGCGACGAGACATAAACATTAAAACCCATTACAAACGAGTTGAAATAGCATCATATGACCCCTTTAAGGTAACCAGCTGACTAAGATACAGGACATTTCTGCCAGGATTTCACCTAAAAAGCAACTCTTTTACGATTAAAAAAAAAAAACGTTTTAAACAAACAGTCAAATACTGGTATTGTCTATCAATCCTAACGCACCACGACAGTGTTTTATACTGTCACTTCTGGACCTCAAAATTTACATATGACAGATGCAAAGCTTGTAGCTCCTGTTCTTGCTTATATTTACTTTAATAGCTGTGTGTACATACATACCTATGTACCAGTGTTATCTCAATGTAACTAAACGTACATTATAAAAACTGTACCAAATATTTTATCTTACAGTAATCCAGAAAAACACATCTCTTTAAACCAAAAGAGTGGCCAGTACACACTTGATGTCTCTAAAACCGTTCCCATTTTGAACCTGGTGGAGGCAGTATACTTAAATAAGAAAGCGATTGCTATTGCGCCAGAGAAGAAGACGCTTCTTTGAAATCCTCTGTGATTTTTACAAAACTGGAAAGGCAGCTGAAGTAAGCTCCGCTGGTTTGAGACATTAAAGCCTGCAGGGGGCGTGTCATGGCTGAAATACCAGTCTTTCTGGTTCCAAACTCACATTTTCCACATAAATAAACAAAAAAAAGTGAAATATTTCAAAAGTAAAAACGTTTTTCAAATGTGATAAGCCTAAAACAACACATTCATAAATGTATCAAGTGTTCCGTTTGTTAACGGCTGTTCTAGATCACGTGACCGGAGTGGTCCAGTGGAAGGCAGGAGCGAGCCGCTCCAGGTTCCGCTGTGTCTCTGTGTTTCTGCAGAGTCCTCAATGTGGATCACTACATGGCGGTAACGCGGAACACTGCGGTAATGATGATTACCTAACACGTTTACTTCAGTATAGAAATATTTTTAACATCTCCATGCTTATAGTTAACTCTGAGTGAGTTTAGTCGAAATAAACATCTTACTGTTTCAATATATCTCAAGTCGTGCATACACGAGGCCTGCATGAAGGCTCGCTAGCTTCTGTTCATTGCTAACCAGGCTAGCATATTGCTCTCCTTTTCATTCGTGCTTTTTCTGGGGATATCTAGGATTTACCTTATATTACGGAACCGCTACAGTTTGTTTGAGACGCATATAGATAGTAAGCTCATGAATCCTGCGCAGCTAGCCTAAATCAGTGTATTTAACAGCTGTAAGTCAGCTAGCACCGCTGCTGATGTAACGTTAATGTACCAGTACAAGCGCGCCACTGCCGTGCCTTTAACCTTTCTTTGTTGATATATAGCTATCTGCAGGTGCAAAAACCCTCAGTTCACTTTAGTGATGATTTTGTGTTTACGCTAAGCCAAGAATAGCAGAAAAGCCAAAACGCAAATGGAGGTTCCAATGAATTGTCCAGTTGTGCAGTGTTTCTTGTAACGGTTTTTAAGTGAACACTGTTTTCAGTATGAATACTGTTTCCTTGTGAAGCAGTTTTATGTTTCATTCTGATTGGACCAGTTTGCATCTTTCAGATGAAATAATCTAGTAGTAAGTTAGATTGAACACGAAGAGCATACAGTATTTTAGCACCATGCTACTGTCAGGAAAGACAATGTAGTGATACTGGAGATATGATAATGACTAGCAGTTGCTTAAAGGCATAGCTCCCCTAGAATTGTCTTTTTTTTTTTTTTTTATGTTTTTACAAATCTATATGATTGACTTTCTCCTGGGGAACACAAAAGGAGATGAATTGGGTAAATGTGATTGGTGACTGAGGATTTTGTGTTCTATGGAAGAAAGTCAGTCAGCTATCCACAGCTTCTTCTTATTGCACTTGGACAGTGATTTTAAATTATTATGATGTGTGCATTTCCTTGAACCACAGATCATTGTAAAATTGTGAGTGCTTTGCCAGCAAGTCTCTACGACTTCACAATCCTGGTTGGCGTAATACGGTTCGCCTCATAGGTAAGCTGCAAAATCTTTCCTTAGCATATAATTTACAATACATTTAGTTTTGATGAACATATATATATATATAGCCTAGCTTTATGTTTTTCTCCGCTCGCAGAAGCGCTACAGGTGCATGATGTGATATGATGACCATGTGAATCCTCATGTTCTGTTGTTTGCTGCTTTTTCCGCATGTAAAATTAATCCCTGGGAAAGAAATGTTAGTATTTTTAACGGGTCACAGACACTTATCCTTTGTAATTTAAAATAATCTTGTCGGTTAACAATCGGTTAACGAGCGTCGGTTAGGAAAAATAACCGAAATGAACATCCCTGATATATGTTCTGTTTGTACCTATTTAGGGCATGCTATAGATTGATTAAGTCATAAATTCAGATGTGCGAATGGTTGCTGAATAGATGGAATATCTGGTCTGGAAATACTTGAATATGTGCTGTCTTTTTCATTCCATGTCTATTGTATTGATTTCTCAGTGAGGCAAAGGTCTGATGATGGAGAATGGACAAGGCACAGGTGCAAAGCTCGTATTACCGCCTCTTACTCCAGAGCAACAGGAGGCGCTACAGAAGGTAATAAGAGATCTTTAGTGTTTTGTAGTGATGGGAAGTCCGGCTCTTTTCAAAGATTCGGCTCGGCTCCCTTAGAAGAGCTGGCTCTTACGGCTCCCAAATGGCTCTTCATTTGGTATCACTCGGAGCCTTCTATTTTA